AAAATCAAATTTATTAAAATTTGTTATTTATTATTGTAATTCAAATTATAAATTATTTAATATGGTTGGCCGACATGGAATAAAATATAAATATCATAAATTACATATCTGCATTACTGCAGTCAATTTTTTCACGGTATAAAATATAACTCTTGGCCGCAATGGCTATATTCTGGTGCAATTCCATGAGTACAACATTTTTCTACTGTTACACGTGCTCCCTCGTTTCAACAGAATATTGACTTAAACCAACTCTAAGCTGTTATTCCGAAAAATCTAAACCAAAAGCCTAATTTCAAAAATAGAAGCGAAAAAACGAAATTGCGCAGCACGATCTGACAGCCACGGACACTTTCGGGCACTATTTTTCGAAAACGTACGCACGAAACCGAAAAAAAATGTTCAATTCCGTTATGGAAGAATTCCCTGTACGCGGATATATAAAACAAATCTAATTGAAAACCCTAATTTCGAAGATAGAAAAGATAAAAGTCAATTGCGCAGCACGATTTCACAGCCACTGACACATTCGACACTATTTTTCGAAAACGCACGCTCGAAACCGAAAAAAAATATCCAATCCCATTAGAGAAAATTCTACTCTACACGGATATATAGGACAAACCTAATCAAAAAGCCTAATTTCGGAAATAGAAGAAGAAAAACTCTATTACGCAGCATGATTTCACAGCCACGGACACTTTCGGCACTGAATTTCGGACAGGTATGGCGAAAATCATAGAAAAATTGGCACACGATATAGAGAAAATCCTAATCAACGCTGTTATAGTGAAAAAGCCTAGTCCGAAAGCCTAATTACGGAAATATAAACGATAAAATTGAACGGTGTAACACTATTTCACAGGCACTTGTACTTCCGTCACTTTATTTTAAATGTGCACATTCACTTTTTCTTCCACATGTAGTATGTTACCACCGAACAAATGTTCACAATTATTTATCCTGTTCTTGGTAAAGTTCTCTCAATTTCTTAATCTTGCGTGTGGTCCTTTCGTACATATCACGACGATGTTACAAAAGTCGTTCAATGATCCGAAATAATAGCTGGTACTACGTATTATTGCTCTTGAAATTTCTTTTGTCAGTTACAGTAATTAAAAGACTGATCAAGGATAACACTACTTCACAAATCGTTTTGTTCAGGGACTGAAAGTTTTACTTTAACGCGTGTAAATATTCCATCATGTGCTACCGACATGTTGGATTCGGATCGACTAGAAATGTTCTGTGATTGGGCAAAACTGTGCCTTATTTCCGCGGGAAGATGCTTCATCTTTGAAATAGTCTTTTGTTAATGTCTTGATGTGCTATATAATATCAAACGATGTTTCTTATATTTATTAATAACAATGACCAATAATATATGGTAATGTATATGATATATTAGTTACAAAATTTGGTACATGAGCATTGTGACCACTTTTATTGAACATATTTTCATAAAATTCTATAAATGCACAATTAAAATTAGAATTCGATCACTATGAAAGTCACAAATTGAGATCGAAACAATGAATAAATAACATCAATGTATTTACCAGAAGGTGTTACATATACGCTAATGCCATTTTTCTGTAAAGTTGTAATGAATTGTATTTTTCTTTCTTTTTAGATTGTTATATGTTAGCTCGATTGCATTTGGTACCCGAATTACGCGTAACTACGGCACTACCAGGTTTAGATAAGCGAGAATACCAAAAAAAGCATGCGTATGTGAAAAATTCCGAATTTTTGAAAATTGAAGGTGATAAAGCAATTTCAATTATTTCGTTTCCAGAAAAGTAAACTCTACAAGTATTACCGAATGGATATTTTACATTAAAATTTGTATTGAACAATGTTATTATTGGTAAGTAAAAGAAATATGAAATACAACACACTCGTCTTTTAATACTCAGTACTTTATTAATGAAATGTAAGTACGTTATGTGCAAGCATATTTACATACTTAATTCACTACAATCTACGTACAATTACACATAATCACATGTGGAATATATTGCGCGTCTTTGAAAAAAGATATATAACTAGTATATATCTCGTATACAAAATATAAAAATAGCTGGCATTTTTTTTTTTAGTAGGAATAAAGTTTGTTCACTATTATTATCACCATTATTTCTATAACAAAATATATAAAAATACATGTGAAATCATCACAATTATTGGAATACTTAATGCACGAATACATTAACGCTATACTTAGCGATGTATTATCGTAATTGACATAGAAAGCAATAGTAAAAGACCAAGTTTTTCAAACTCGCAATAAGCAAATAAAATTAAATCTTCAGCATTCTTTAATTTTTCTTGTAGTATGTAAAGAATTTTTTTTCTTTCTTTGAGTAATTTGTTTTTTATAGTAAATATATAAAAGGATAGTAGTTTGTGATTTATCCAATTGTTTTAAATCAGACATATAAAGCACAAAATTTTATTGCTATTAATAATTTATATCAAAGCTACTATTATTATTACTCTTGCCAATATTAAAAAAATTCAAAACAAACTTTTTAATACATTCAAGTACTTTTAACTTTCCAGAATATAAATGTATAAATATCTTTATAAAAATTCGATATATGTAATGTAAAGTACTTGTTATCTAACTAAAAATTTGAGACCTACTTATTATCTTTCTGTATTTTATTTAAAAAAGATCGTAATATATAAGATTTAATTCTATTGCATTCACTACACATAAGCTTCTTTGGTTCTTATTGTATATGTTACAACTGCCCTTTAGAAATGCATTGTATTACATAACATGTAAAAGAAAATTGGTCTTTTATTATAGAATCAAATTATTATTAAAAGTAACACTTAAGTAATATTAAAAATATTATAGTCCAATAAATTTTAAACGAAATTAATTAAAATAAATACAATTGCTTCATAAAATAAATTGCGCACTATATTTTTCACTAATAATTCACGATCTTTCACTTGAAAATAGTAAATGTAGATATTAAGAAATAATGAGAATATTTCCTTTGCTTAAAATTATAATACTAATTATAGATAGACTGTACTATTGCTTGCTGCATCAAAAACAAATGCATATGTAAAGTGACAACTCTGTCTAAGATAACTCATAGCTATGTATAATTGCAATTTTCTATGTTACACTTTATACATTTTTTGAGTGTGAAACTATGTATTCATTAACCAAAATTGAAGACTATAATACTTAATAAATATATACATTATTAACACATAACATATCACTAATAAAGTAATCTGCCTTTCTTTGATAATATTTACCAACTGAATACTAATTAGAAACATTATAAAAATAATCTAAATCTTGTTATTTAGACAAGTCAACAATCATTTGTTTAAAATAATTTCCATGTATTACTAAAGTGATTTCTCAAACCAGTTTATTAGTAATAAGTTATGCACTAAGTGCCAAAATAGTTCTATGGAAGACACTGTGGTGTAAGTCTCATAGTACTTAATTATTAAATTTACATTTTAAACAAAAAATACTTTTGAAGATGCTGTACAAGGCACTTTGTTTAATTCTGCCTTACAGTCTTCAATTTTGAAATGTTAATTACTCATAAAGTTTAACTTCCACTAGCTCTAATAAACTAATAGACTTTTATAAAAACTGCAATGCATTCGGAATAATATTGCCTTAAATAGCTTTCAGCAGCAAAACAATTGAACTATTTTCAACTAGCATTCGATATATCTATATCAATTGTTTCTTCTTTAAGCAGTGCACGCTTGTCTTCTTTGGTATTGGTTTGTCGTTTACCACCAACTTTACGTTTCCCTCTATTAAGTACACCATTTTCTTCATCCATCATACGCAAAATCTGCGTTTGATCAGAACTTTCTATCGGTGCTATCGATATATCACGAACTGCACGGAATTTACCACAGTTATTTAAATGTTCATTCTCTAATCGAAAGAAATTCCAAACGAACCGCCTTAAAATAAATATATTTTCATGTAATATTAGTAATATTTACTAAAATTCAATTATGTAATAAAACAATTGAAAATTTACCTAAAAACCTCAAGAGGAGCTACTACAGATGTCATCAAATCACTAGATACATATCCACATTCAATGAGGCCAAAACTTGCAATCCACGCGAATCTCAAAATAAAATCCTCAATTATAGCGAAATAATAAAATCCCTGAAAAAATATAAAATAAAGCAATTAATATTTTTTTCACAAAATATCAAAAATATCAATAGATATTTCCTACATAAAGAAGAAAAGGAAATATAGTTTTATTTACGTACTGCTGCCGAATACACCACTTCTTCACGTAAAAATTTGTTTTCACCAGCATTGCTATCTAAAAGCCCCCAATCCATTTTCAAATCCCAAGTTAATGAATAGATCGAATTGACAAGACAGCTAATAATCCAAAACCACAGCCATGGATTTTCCCAACGACTTTGATATTCCACTGAAGTTAATATTTTTTATCCTCTTATTAATTAATGATAATATCGATCATATTAGAAAATTGTTTGTATCTTACCAGCACGATAGGTGCACATCGTATTAGATATTACAACAAGGAATGTAGTCGAATATTTTCCAGCATTAGCCAAATGTGGGAATGCCTCTTTAGAATCCCGGTATCGTCGAATACATTGTGCAAAACGAAACCATGCAGGTAAACAATTAACGATAGGTCTAACGATTAAAGATCCAGACATACATTGGGTAGTATCTCCTGCATCTAACCAATTTCCATTGGTAATATAAAAACATGTTAAAAAATGGAAATCTAACAGTGCTGTAGCCATACTGTTCAATTGATCTGCCAACCAAAAATCAGCAAAATTTACATATGCAAATGGTGATATTAAAACTCTTCCCTGAAAATAAATATTTTATTTATTTTGATATGAATTTATGCTATCAATCTATCTATATATTATGTTAATAATATATTAAACTAATATAATATACTTACAATAATTTTTAGTAGCCAAAATCGTGCCTCATGACGGAACATTTTTAAGGGATTAAGGAGAAATGCTAGCATGATACATACTAAAACTAATGGATTTACATATGGTGGAATGCTTAAACTAGCACTGTATAAAAAACTTAATAAACTAAGTGTCCATATAACACCAAGAACAGCAGCTAGTTCCATGAGGTGTTGTTCAGACAAGTGATTTCGCGGGTCCAATTCAAATATTAATACGTGATTAACACCGGATGATCGCCATCCATAAACATTCACACCAATAAGGAATAAAAACTGTATAATAAGTAGAGGCCCACGATATAATCGAAATGCAATTTTTAAATTTTCTCCACCATCATGAAATATTGCTAGAAATAAAATAAAAAATGCAAATGGAAATATAATGATAAATTATACTTATTTCCTCTGTTTCAAAACTTTTGTTATTACCTGAAAGTACAACTGCAACAAATAATACAATAAAACTACCAGAAAATAATCCAACTTTAAATGTTGTCCATGGACTTTGATGCTCTCCTAAAGGTGGGACACGTAAACGTTTCATAGCACGTTGTCTGTCTCCACCTTCCAAATCATTTGTTACAGTAGTTTCTGTATCTTGTATGAGTTTGTCTATATCTTTTGATGTATAAAAGTGTGCAGTTTCTACACATTCTACTCTCCACTTTGATCCACTATCTACAGACAATAACTGAAAATAAAAATAAAGATAATATTACATATATAACAGAAATAAATTGCTGCAATGTGAGGTATGATGATCTTTTACTTGTGTTTAATAGGATAAGGGACTTTAAAAAGCTATTAATTCTTTCCTTATTTTTTCATTATTTAAATCAATATGTAAACCTAGAGAAATAAAAAAAAAAATTAAGTATTAATTAAAACAATGATAAACAGAATTTTTCTCCTTACATACCTTGTCATGCTTTTTAAGAATTTTTCGGAAACCAGTGTAGTTAAGATTTTGATAATTCTGAAGAAGTATAAGAGATAAATAAAATTCTGAAAATGCAAGTTTCAACTCTCTCAGCTTCCTTGTTGGTAAATGAGGTTTAACATTCACTTTTCCCTTATTTTTGCCTCCACCTTGTTGTAATTCTAATGCTGTTTTCAATTCACTTTGAAGCGCTGCATATTTACGTGTAGCTTCTGCTAATTTTTCTAGATATAAAAGATCAAATTTTATATAAATATTAAATAAGTGTTATATAAAGATCAAGTGTTTTACTATTACTATATATGGCTGTTAATTTCTACCTATTTGACTTAATTAACATGTATGTAATTTTAAGAAAACTTCCTTACCAGAATAAAAAGTATTAATTTTCTTTAATTCACGGTCACAAAATGTAAAAAATACTTCATCAAAAGAAGCAAAATGTCGAGATATTACTTCTGGTTCAACACTTTCATCTGAAGGTGCTTCTTCTACAGCAGTATACAACATTGCTTTCATTTCCTAAAGAAAAATCTTTTTAACTAACAGTTTACTGATACTATATCTTTTAATGTATGTCTTTATTATTAAAGTATCAAGATTTTAATTTAAAGACTTATTTTACCTCGTAGCTAATATATTGTTTGCGCCATTCTGGTGTAATGTGAGCAGACAAGTGTTCCGCAAACTTCATTTTGCTTCAATTACCAATTTGTTTCAGTTCACTATCTGTAATAAACAAATTTGTATAAATTATTAACAAGATAATAAAAATATAGTACTAAAAACTTTTGTGCAAGAATAAAATATAAAAATGAAATAAATATAAGAATACTAAACTACATGGATATAAAGTAACCCTGAATATTAAATAAATTAATCTTTTCCTTTTTTTACACATAAATTCTCAAAGGTAATATGTATCTCATATATTAATTTATTATTACAAATAAGTGTGTATCACAGAAATAATAAAATAATAAAATAAATAGAAATTAAATGTAATCATAATATAATATTGAACCGAAAAGAATAAAAATGAACAATACTTATTAAACTGAATGTTTAATATCGTATTCGCTTTCAATGAATTAAACCGCAAAATAGGTTACACGCAACATATATTATACTCTTAAAACCTTTGTCGGCAGCTCTAAGTTAATATTTTCTCAATTCGTTTACATCATGATAAATTGTTATTACTAGAGGATAAACGTATTTATTCTTATTTCTTACGTTTAATTGTCAAATTTTACATCAACTACAACACTTATTAGATAAATAACTTTTTCATTAGTTATTTATAATTGTTATAAATATGATTATTTTCCGTTCTTAAATAAATATTAAAACAAATTTTTCGATAAACTCTAATATACATATCAATGAAAAAACTATTTCGGTTAGATAAAGTACTTATATGCGATATATCATCTTGTTACATATAGTGTTTAATGTTAGGTATGCTTTATTTCTATACACAAGAGTTAGTTTTATTAATTTTATGTTTGTTATATTTTATAGATTTTAAACGTCAGTCTTCTAAATAAATATCTTATTCAACAATTAATTGAATAATTATACTGTTTCTGTATGAAAATTCATTAAAAAAAAATTATATATCAAGTTGTATATTAGAAAGGTATAATCATATAACTTAAACAATTACGTACTCTTTTTGTTAAATTGATTTTGAAAGTAGTATATTATTATATTCTATACACTAAGTAAAATACATAGTTACATTTCGTGAAATAATTTGTATTATTTATAATGTTCTATTAATTAGTATCTACCATTACGTACATTAATTTTCAAAATATTAAATAAATTTTTTATCAACTTAGTAATTTTTGTTAAATCTTATAATAATAAAATTTTACGAAATATATTTAATTTTCTACTTTCAATCCATATATAAATAATTGAGAACTTCATCAAATACATTTAAAAAGTATAATTAAATAATATAATTGAGAACTTCATCAAATACATTTAAAAAGTATAATTAAATAAATATAGATACAAATTTTTATAAATATTTGAAAATTTATAAATGATATATATATAAAATAATTTAAGTTCGGATTAAAGATGTGCGCTGGTTAAAAATTAAAAGAATTTTTGTTCGATATAAATTGCTTCACATGCATATAGGATTATATATATTTAAAATGATATTTGTGACAAAATAATCAATATTTAGTATGATATAAGTTTATATAAAGAGATTATTTTGAAATTGCTAAAAAAAATAATATTATAATATACGTAAAAAATTAGTGTCACACGGTTTAAATTATTTTTATTTTTCCACTCACTCGAATCTGCTTGAAAATGTTATCTAAGACTTTTATTTCTTTTTTGCAAGGGTGAATTATCTTTACAAAAAGAAATTTATGTTTATTTGGTAACCTAGATAATAATTTATACTAGAAACTATTTTAAAGATGGCGCTATGGAAGAAACATATTTCACGTAAATCGATACAATAACAATGTATTATATATAGTTCCTTGTAATGTTACAAGACTAGTCATCATATAAAATATACGAATTGTAATATTTTTAATATTGTATATAATGCATAGAACTGAATGAATTATCAATCAAATGTCTCAAAAATAAGAAAACGTTTTTACTAATCTTGTGAGCACGTTTTGGTTATTATAAGTTTGTAAATGTATTTTTTGTATAGGAAATAAAATTATATATGTGTTGTGATTAAAATACTATAATAGATAAGTTATGTCCATAATACAGGTTTTTAAATATTTATAATCTCGAAAATGAAAAGTAATAAGAAAAAGTAAATTATTTAATACCTATTTAATATATGTGTACAAATATTTATCAGTAAAATAAAGGAAAATAAAGGAATATGTTTAAATTTTCTATTAATTAAAATTTATATTTAAAACTTGGTTTTATTATGATATAATATTCCTAACACCAATTGTATTTTTTAATATATTATCAGTTTATATTGAAAAAAAATTAATTTTTTTAAATCTTATCACTTTTGAAAAATAACATTATTTCAGGCTAATATATTATCATTCATATTAAAAAAATATATTTAAAGAGAATAATTTTAACGTTTATGTTAGAGCAACAAATTCTTTAAAAATTTGTATAAATGATAGATATGAAATAAGTTATGTTTAAAAAGACTGTATTTTTGAAGTTGTAGAGAAAAGTTATATAAAACAATATCTATAATTAATTTCATATGTGTTGTAAATAAAAAACAGTTTTTATCTTTCCAGAATACATGACATTTGGTAATTAAAGCATACCTAATATAACATGCATCAATTTCTATTAGCATTGTTCTTTGTTGGTCTTATAAATAATAGTATATCATGGAGAACATTTATGAGAGGTCGAAGCAAATATGGTAATCTAGGTGATCCAATTTTATCTGAAGATCATGAACTTCCAAATGAGCAATGGTTTACACAGTTTCTAGATCATTATAATCCAACTGATGCACGTGTTTGGGAACAAGTAATATAATAATATATTAGAAATTTTTAAATTTATAATTAATCAATATTTTATGATAAATATAAAATATATAACTATTTTTTCAGAGATATTTTGTAAATGGAGAATATTACAAAAAAGGAGGTCCTGTATTTTTAATGATTAGTGGAGAAGGTGCAGCAACTGCTAAATGGATGGTAGAAGGTCAGTGGATTGAATACGCTAAACATTTTGGAGCATTATGTTTTCAAGTAGAACATCGTTATTATGGAAAAAGTCATCCTACTTCGTATGTAATATTGTTTATAAAATATACAACTGTGATAAAGTCTAAGTTACAATATAATGGGTTTGTTATCTACAGGGATCTTAGTGTGAAAAACTTAATATATCTTTCATCGCAACAGGCACTTGCAGATTTGGCTTATTTTATAGAAGTTACAAATCTTAATTACAAATTACCAAATGATACCAAATGGATTGCATTTGGTGGGTCATATGCTGGATCACTGGCTGCATGGTTGCGTTCTAAATATCCTCATTTAGTACATGGGGCAGTTTCTGCAAGTGGTCCCTTATTGGCAGAAATTGATTTTCAAGGTAAATATAAAAAAATAATCAGTTTGGAAAATATTTTACATTGGTAATTATACTTTGTAGAATACTATGTTGTTGTTGAGAATGCTATTAAAGAATACTCAGAGGCATGTATAGATTCAATAGTAGAAGCAAACAAACAATTTCATATAATGTTACATCACCCCATTGGTCAACAAGGAATAGCTAAAAAATTTGTGTAAGTAACAATCGAATTCTTTATTTATTAATATAAATATATTACTATTGAAAAATTATTTTTACCTATAGCTTATGTGATCCTATTGATCGTGGATCCACGAAACATAATGATATTTCGAATTTATATGAAACAATAGCGAGTAACTTCGCTGGTATAGTACAATACAATAAAGACAATCGTAATAATTCGGCAATGGCTAATATGACAATTGAAAGTGCCTGTGATATTTTAACTAATGAAACATTAGGTATTGCTATTGATAGACTTGCAATTTTAAATACAAAAATATTGAATGCATCGAAAGAGAAGTGTTTAGACTATATGTATAGTAAAATGATTCATAAACTCAGGAATGTAAGTTGGACTAATGAACAAGCAGAAGGAGGTAATGCAATTTTTTATCAATGTTATTACAATTTTAGGTTTTGTTTATAATATTTTAACGTGTATCTTTTGTAGGACGACAATGGATGTACCAAACCTGTACAGAATTTGGATTCTTTCAGACTTCCACAGCACGCCCAAATTTATTTAGTGAAACTTTCCCAGTGGATTTCTTTATACAACAATGTATTGATGTGTTTGGTCCAAGGTGTGTTTAAAATTAAGACAGATATATATTTTATTATCATTACATCAGCTATATGAAATTATAATATTTCTGTATTTTAACAGGTACAATATGCACTTGCTAAAGTCAGCAGTATATAGAACAAATATTTTATATGGAGCATTAAATTTGAAAGTTACAAATGTAGTATTTGTACAAGGCTCAGTTGACCCTTGGCATATTCTGGGTCTTACGAAGTCGTCAAATCCGCAGATGCCTGTTATTTATATTAACGGTACATAAACATTAATCGAAATTTTTTATTTTCTACTTAATATTTAAAATTAATTTAACATTATTACTCACAGGTACTGCTCACTGTGCCAACATGTATCCTCCTTCTAAAAACGATCCACCACAATTAGCAAATGCCAGAATAGATATTGCACGTTTCATCTATCAATGGTTAAATTAATTAAGTGTGATATTTTTTGTATTGTGTGATATATTGTTTTTTACTTTTATTTTTTAGAGAATTCGTTATTTTTTTCTTTTTTCTTCTTTTTCTTAATGATACAATGGTGTATTACAAAAATTAAGTGTATTTCAGTAATTTTTTAAACAATTTGTATTCTTTCTTTATAAATTTTTGTGAAACAATTATACTACATAAATATTTTTAATTCAGATAGTCTGTGCATTATCAAGACTAAAACTAACTATGTACGTACATAACAAGTTATTAAAGGTATACAAATATTTGCCATTCTGTGTTTATGTTAAACCACAAGAATGTACGTATAGATACAATTAAACAAGTTTGCCCATAATGGCACTATTACAATTTCCTGTGAATTACTGAGATATTAAATAAATACATGTACAAACTTACTATGAATATCTTACGTCAGTCAACAAATAAATACATACCATTTATTAATTATGTATGTTTTATTTTCGACGAGCATGGGAAAAAATGTTCAACTGGTTAAAATAATACTAAATATAAATAATTCATTAAAATATCGTAAAATCTGCAAGAACAGATACAATATTAGTTTTAATGCATGTAAATCGTTTTAGAACGAGCACCATAACTAAATGAATTTTGATTCTGAAATGGATAACGTCGGCCTTTCCTTAACGATATCATCTTCGAATAACGTTGCGCCATGAAAAATTTGTTCGATCTCCTTAAGGCGAGGCCAAGGTGCCCATAACAGATGCTGATCTTACCGAGCATGATTTTCGTAAAATATACCATTGTCGATATTATTATAATCAAATAATCTTAAAATAATTTTTATAAAAAGAAAATTATTAGAATTCGTTTGATCGGTAATTATACATATATATTACTCTCTCGTTTTTTGGCATATCCTTTGATCAACTTGTGATCCTCCTACATTCACAACTTTCGTCTCTGACTTACGCTACTGCAGTATACGGTATTTACATTACGTAACAAGGTAATCGTAAATAATTTATTGTGTAACAGAACAATAAATGTAAGATGAACTATATTTTTTTATCTATCAATCACGCTGTAAAATTCTCCTACGCAACGTTTTAATTATTCACCACGTTTCTTTACATTCTACTTGGATGTACAAATTGTCTCATGAATGATGGCATAATAGGCGAGATGAACTTTTAAAGATGATCTTTTAAAAAAAGAGTAAGATGAAATTGACATAAAACATATTGAAATGAAACATTTTTGTATGAAATAATTTCAAATGTATAGTAAACGTTCAAATAAAATATTTAGTATACTTGGTAATGTAGTTATTGAATCTTGGTACTTATTACTTTTATCTTATTTAGTATATGCACTTAGTAATGAAATGTTTTCATAATTTCTAGTTATATTAAAAATCAAATTAATAAAAGGAATTTTTAATTTTTAATTTAAAATATTACACAAAATTCCAACAATCTATCTCAAAATATTTTTGAGGTAGATGTGTCTTTGTACAAGAAAGCATCAATGTATACAAACTAAGATTAAGAACAGAACAATATAACAATTCATTAATTTTTCCTTCAAGAAATTAACTTTAATAAAATTATCAAAAATGTATATACTATTGTATCTTCAAAATATCACAATTTAAATAACTAAAAAGTAAGAATTCTGTCTTTTAAAACACTATCATCTAACTACATACAAATGTTAATAAACCAAATCTATTATCAAATACACTTATATCCAATAAACTAACCAAATTACATTCTCCAAAATCGAAGCTCAATCGAAAGAATCTCATTCCACATTTTCTATCTATTTTTTAACATAGAATCACCATTGTACTATCAGCCATTGTACCATCATTCACAAAACATAGATACAAGAGTATCCACGAGTACCTGCAAGTACTCACAAGTACCAATAAAACATAAAAAATAGCTTACTCGTGATCCGGTCGCGACTCATCATAGTTATCGATTGACCGAAAATCTCGAATATGAGGGATCCTAGATAACAGATCCAGTGCTCAGTATCTGTGATGGGACTGGGACTGCCTCCACTCGGGCGTAGAGTTACCGTGGTGATGATGATGATGATGATGATGGCGTTTCTTGTCGGAGATGCTGGCGTGCTTGTTGGTCGGGTACGTGGCTACATCGCTCACAACTAATTCCGAGCCATCCCTCTCGGTGTTGTTACCACGGTAATTTTCTCGGTATCCTGGTTCATCCAGGGTCTCCTTGCGACGAAGAGGAGGATGATTGTTCTTATGACCGGTCGTCTCATGCAGATTTTCCCAAGCTTGACGGTAGTATCGATTCAAACCTCCTCGACTCTCAGAGGAACTGCTTCCAAAGCTAGCCACGGTATTACAGTCAGGGGATGCACGGTGTCGATAATGCTTGCTGCTTCTACCGCGATTTCTGTGTGAATACGTTAAGGTATAATTATTATCTCATAATTAGACGTGATTTTTGGTTGGCTTTAATTTAAATTCCTAATCGACAATTTATGATTTTTTTTTTTTTTATTTTTTTTTTTTTTTTTTTTCTTTCTTTTCCTTTTAAGAGCAGATGTAGTAAGCATGGTGTATATGCGGTTTGTTTGATAATCGATTTGATTTTTAAATTTTGATTCATGGAAATACTTTTATTTTGATATTTTCGTTTCATTTTTTAAATATTTATAATATTTATAGATCAAAATCAAATCCATTGTTCAATTTCGTATGTATGTGTTTGGATAGTATTTTAGCAGAGTGTGATTAAAGCTATCTGTAGCGAATAGATTGTATTACCACCACCAGTTTGAAGATAAGAGGAGCAGGAAAGATTTAGATATAGAATAGGTATATAATAATATTTGTATTCAGTCCCATACAATTTTAATAGCATTTTCATAATAACATTTTTTCTTTAAGCTTTTTTCGATTGCATGGGACTGCCATTTTTAAGCATTATTAAATATTTCATTGAATAATATTTATAAATTTAGATATCAAAAATATATGATTAAAATCCAGATGTTAAATTCGAATATATTTGGATTATTCAAATACGGTCATTTGGTAATTTAAATTTTTAATTTTAATCTCGTTTATTTAATTTTACTTTTAATTATTTGGCCTATTAGTTTTAATTGGTTGAAGTCGACTAACTATTTAATGATATTCTAGATCTTTCAACGGAAATAACGACGGGGTTAGATCGATCACGTTAGGATAAAAATACGTATTGTGGCGAACATTAAAAAATTTTAAAAGCGCTATTTGATCTAGTTCATAAAAAAAATGTATTAAAAAAATGTAAAGAATGCAGAATGAGTCATTTAATTTTGCTACCTGAATCATTTTTTTTATATCAAGAGTAACAATTTTTTATCGAGATATGAGTCACTCAATAGTCTTTTATTCAACTTTTAATACTCTTTCGAATCTCAAAATTTCCATCATCATCATCATCACATCTCCATAAAGTAGTAGAATATAAAAAAATTAATTGTTACGTATTGTATATCCTTGATAATAAATATGTATTTGAAATATTTATTCAAATAGCAAACCATACAATAATAATTTCAGGTGGCAAAGTTAAATGACTCACCTTATATATTCAATCATACCTTTTTCATTAAGTACATTAAAAATTGCAAAAAAGAAGTTAAACTATTTGTTTAAAACACTTCTCCATCTAGAAAACAATTTACAAATACTTTCAACTATCAAAAGTAAATAATTTATTTGATACACCCCCCATTATGCTGATCCAACTGGGTACACAAAAATTAGAAAGAAAATAAAAGAATAAAAAAGATTAAAAATTTCATCTCTTAAATCTCAAAGCCCAATCCCTCAGTATTTCCGTTCTCCTCTTCACATCAAACGATCTCCCCATTAACCCTTTCGGTGTTTATGTAGAGTATATTCGTCATGGAAAGGTAATAATTTCGTATTCAATGACGAGTATACTTGTCATGGAGCAAATATAATTTTCTCTCGCTATTTAAAGTACAATACACAAAATTAAAACATATTCGTAATTTTAACACATTTTAGAATAATAATACCCGATCACTTAATATAAATATATTTTGAATTCCAAATACAGTTCCGTTAAAGAATCAATCGAATTCCAAATTCAATGAACGATATCAACGAACCTATAAACAATAAAAATAAAAATTTCTCAAAGAAATGTAATAATACTTTTTACTTTGTTATAATTCCTTTCAATTTCACAACACCTACTTTGCTTTCATTGAATATTCTTGTGTATACATATATCAAGTATACTTATATTAAAAATAAGTAAGCACACAGTTGTAGACTCTTAAAATTAAGCGAAACGCTTAAAGGGTTAAGATGGTGCTCTAACCTATCCAAACGTCGTGCGAAGAACAGTATACACAGTAGATCAAGCTACAAGGGACTTCTGGGAGAAAGTGCATAAACTTGTCTGCATCGACTTGTGTGCACCCGGAAGAAGCCTTGAAACACACAGGTGAGCTGGTGAACGAGCTATCGGTATACATATGGGTGCTCATTATAAACGTTGCTCGTTTACCTTGACTAGTAATCACTCGCGAGGGTGGCGCATGGCGGTTGTAGTGGTACGTGGTGATGGTTGATGTAGTGGTGGGCGGTGGTTGCGTGGAGGGTGAGGGCGATAATGGTGGGCTATATATATATATATGTATACAGGAAGTAATTTGTCCGATAACCTAGAGGGAAGGATTGGAGAAATATCCAGCGCGATGGGCCGCCGAGAGACCGAAGGAGTAAGGATGATCGGTGCCGCGGCGTGCCGTCAAATCGCGGCGCCCCAGGTGCTGGTCGGGGAAGGGCAGCGCCAGTAGTGTATACCAACGCGAGGGCATCCCGATATCACCCCTTCCAAGGCCACCACTACCCCCACCCCTCAACGCACCAACCCCACCAAGCCCCCTGCGGCGCCTTCCTCTGACGCTGCCACTGCCGCTAGCCACCGCAACGCAAACGGGCTCAGTGTTAATTGTTATTCTTGATTGTTACCCAGTTTTTCCTCTGATCAATACTTTTTTTCTGGTAGGCATTACTGTCTTTTTTTAATTCTGATTGTTTCTTTGTTCTGTATATGGTTTGGTTATGTCGGTTCGAGTAACCATTTCGTTGCTGAAATCTTTGGCTGATTTCTATCGAATTTGGTTGTTTGTACGAATTGAAATATATAATTTGAATAACTATATAATAGATGTTTTTAAATGTCTTTTATATAGAGGATTCATAAGAGAGAAGTTAACAGCAACGAAAGGGTTACCGCATAAGGCTGGTTTGGTCATTTTTAACCCTTTCGCTGCGAACGATAAGTAAGTGTATATATTTACAATATACACGCACATACATCGAATCTGTAATCTCTTTTTAATTATTTCTTTTTATTGTTATTGGTATTTTTTAACCCTTTGCACTATGAATTAATTATGGAAAATTGTGGATTAAAAATGTATACTTGCAATTAGTCCCTGCATATATTTGTTTCGTTTACAATAAAATTGTAAAAGCTTTTGAGTTTTATATAAGCCTTTCGCATATTAAAGCATATTAAGTATAATTTTAGTTATACGAGTACAGCTGGTTTTCATACGATTTGGTATGAGAAACCTAGAACGAATTAAACTTGTCATTATAGTGTAAGGGGTTAAAAATAAAATATTATATATATTTTCTATTATAAAATTATTTATATTAAGAATTACTTGTAAAAATATTAATTTTCTGAAAAGAATAAACTTCGAAGAAGTGAAATAAATTATCACCTGCAATAAGTAAAATTATGAATGATATATAAATGTAGATTTTCGATTTTGAAAGTATCACTGCGAAAGGGTTAATCATTTTGTTATTTTCTATTTCTTTTAGCTTTCAATTATATAAGAAAAAAAAGGGACTGGAAAGAAGAACTTGTTCCACATCCTTCAATACAAAGCAAAATAATTTCTGTCTTTGTTCAAAAAGTGCAATAGAATCTCTATTATTTCTATTTGAATGGAACAAAATTAAGTATTTTATTACTTATGAAATTTTTTGACAATATATTTATCATTCTTTTTGCCTCAAAACCAAAAATCTTTCATAGAAAATTTAATTATAATACAGTATTCTGTGTTACAATTTGATATGAATTTTGAACAAATTTCATAAAAATTAATATTTAAAGTCTGATTTAAACTTTCAAGACGCACAAAATTAAAGTAAAAAGAATATTTCTAGAAATTCTATTATCTTCACTTTCTTGAATAATAGAGATTCTACGGTATTTTTTCCAACAATCAAAACCTATTATAGCTGATCATAAATTTTCAAATTAATTGAATATGTATGCGATGAAAAGTGTATTTAAGACATGGATGGAGATCTCTCAAAAGATATCTTGGTCAGTGGTCTGGTAATTTTGTATTTTTTCACTTAAAGTAGGAGAAGGTTTTACAGCATGCTGTAGCGAAACTACATTTGTAATACTACCAATTGGTAATATTGAAGGAAAGTACAGTTAAAATTAAGAGGGTTTGGAGGTTGTTGATTTTTACACACTTCCCTCCGGAAAGACCGTTCACGTAACAACTGTTTGTTACACTACTTACAATGCTCGAAATGAGATACAAATTACAATATTTCGAAGGGAGTACGAAACACGCGATTAGATAAGAAGAAATTAGATAGTAGGACAGACGAAAGAAAAAAGAAAGTTTGAACAAATATAGAGTAAGCGATACAGTATACACACGTAGGGTCTAAGAGCGAATGTATTGTATGTATATAAAAGCTATAGTTATGTATAATCTGCCCAATAAATAATGCCTGTTAAAAGAGTCGAAGGCAATACCTTTTTTTCAATTGAAGATGCTTAACTGAAGAACGTGATGTGATTGAAAATAAAGTTTTACGATATAATCTTGGAGTCAAAATGGAAATAATAGCGTAATCTTCACCTATACTACGTACATTTGAATATGTATGGTAATTAATGGACAATGGAAATGATAAACCAGTCTTTTAAAACGATAGATTGTTTCGAGCAATTAGAGAAATACTATTTTATGAAATTTTGTATATTTATATGATTTTCAAATAACGTGGAGCTTTATATTTTGATATTTTGAAATTTCTGGATAAAATTCATTTATTTTTACCTTCTATTCAACTAATACAATTTAAAGTATCTGGATCACTTTTTTAATTTTGGAATTTAACATTTAAATATTGATTTTTAATACTTTTCATCTTTAATAGCGAAATATTTATAATCCCTATATACTTATGAAATATTAAATAGAAATTTACATTTAAACCATTATTAAATTATTTAATTCCTTTCTCAATGGTGTAAAAACAAAATTTCTCCACAGATGTTAAATCCCACTTTTAACATTTACACATATAATAAAATACTCCCATAAAAGTAATGCTCAAATTGCTCTTAGCCACAAACGACTAAACGAAAAAATAACAGACCACAAAAAAATAGAACAAAATACAACAAACGTATAAAAATAAATATCCTAATCTCACATTAAAACAGGCGTTACTTTTGGTGCAACCATCGTGATCACAGAAATTGAAAGAACCGACAGCAACTGGTTACCGTCGTTCTACACGCGTCTCGCGGATTTATTTGAATGATTTGCTTTTACCTGCGTATGAGTATTACGACTGTGGTGATTACAGCGGCTAGGAATACGAAACCGCCGAAGACACCCAAGGCGATCACCGCGCCTAGATTTAATTTCGCTTGATGAGTGTTACTCGACTGATCAGCGTTGTCCACCCTGAAAGGTCCCGATGGTTCCGGTACACCTGTCCTGATGCCAGCCTGAGCATTGTCTACCCCACTGCCTGAGATCTCGTTATCCTGAGGATGATCATTGCTGTCGTCGTTCAGTGGCGGTGATGGAGGAGGTGCTGGCCTTTGAACACCAACATTTGGTTTCCTCGCGATGGTTTCTCGAACCGTCGCGGGTAATTCAGCGGTACTGGCCACTTTTCGTGGTGGCACAGTGGTGGTTGTGGTTGTGGTGGTCGAAATTGTGGTTCGAACTCGAGGCGGTAAGAACGTGTGTCGTGTTCTGGCGGTCGTTGGTCGCGCGGATATTCGGGGAGGAGCGGTCACTGTGGTACGTGGTTCTTCTGAAATAAAGAAATTTCGACTTGATTTCACTTTGGTCTTTCTTTTATAATTATTTTAGGTATTACGCAATAAGCTAGTTTTATTTCTTACAAAGACTGTCTGTTACGTGTATAGCTATAATATAATAAATAGATGGGATGTAATTTGAACAGAGATAAGTAGTAGGTTTATTATCGATTTTCAATGAGACTTGATCAATTAATAGACTGTTTTATAATACTAAATTATGATGAAAAGAGTTTTAGTCTGTATAAACTACTATTATAATATAGGATAGATATTTGTATAATTTATTTTAACATAGTACTGTAAGGATATTATAATATTAATAAAAATAATTATATTCTTGAAACATTCTGTCAATTTTTATACACTTTAATGATTTTAGTATATTCAAAACTATCGAAAATAATAAATAATTCATAAAAATAATGAAACCACGTACCTGTACAAGTAGGTGCAACGTGATCATACAAGCCACTGGGCAAACATAATATTTGTCGGAAACCAGAAAGTCTGTAACCCTTCTCGCAAGTGTAAGTAACGATACTACCTACGAGAAGACTTCGATTCAAACTCGTTTTTGATGGAATCGTCTCGGTTTCATCAATTTCGTCGATTTGGATGTAACTGTGGGGAACCGGAGTTGGAGGATCGCAGAGAATTGGCTCGCAACGTGGTGGAGGTCCATTCCAACGTTCATCGATGTCACAGGTCAGTCTTGCACGACCTTTAATAGATATAAATTATTTTTGATATAAAATTCACGAATTTATATTTATGTTAATTAATCAACAGACTACGCAATATCCATATAGCGTTAAACTAAAAATGGAAACTTTATTCATAACATATTCTTATAATAAAAAGTTGGATATCTTAATTTTAGATCAATATATTTTATAATATTTACTACAAAATTTATTATTAATAAAAACAATGCTTCTTTAATTTGAAATAGAAAGTGTTGAAATGATCATTAAAAAGTATTATTTTAAACTGACCATGTTTCACACTTAAATTAATTGATTTATTCATTTTCAGTGAAATGCTACAAAACGCACAAGACTAATTCACAAACTTACTATTCATGCAAACTTCCATTCACCTACCACCACTAATCTCTACAAATTCAGCATTACATCTTGCAGCAATTCATACGAGTTCGCAGTCGTCTAAAAAACCAAGCTACTAAAAGGAACATGACCGACAACGAGAAACTATCCGGAACTAACAGCAACACGTTCTTACCAATTTCCTCAAACTGCTCCATCCCGAAGCGTTTCAACACACGTATCATAGTATTACTTACAAACGATACCCATTTATCAGAGAACCAAGAACCTAATGCCTAGCGCCACGATAAATTCTTACCAGTCATCTCGTATCCTTCATCGCAGGAGTAAAGCACCTGACTGAGATAACTAACGGTATTGTTGATAAGTGTGTAGCCTCCGTGTTTTATGTTCGCTGGATAACCGCACTCGATGCCTGAAACCAGCAGAATGTTGAATTTAACATCAGCACACCGTGCAGTATATGGTTCACCAAGTCGTCTCTGTTTCTGAGCATTGCTTCTTACTTTTGCACACAGGCGGAAACTCGTTGTAGAAGCCAGTGTCGAGGCAAGTGCGAGTGGACGGGCCTATAAGAAGACTGCCGACGTTACAGGTGTAATCCACCGTCGCACCGACTTCGTACGCGCTTCCGGAATTCCGATCCGTCGTTGTGGTCACAGTCATCGTGGAATTCGGCGGCTGTTCTGGTCGACCACACGCCCGCGGTTCTAAAAGCAAACAAAGCATTTGCTCTTTTTACTTATCGTCTGAGATTGTTTGTAGCTGTCTTTTTGTTCTAGCCAGTTCAATGATGCGAGAGATTGGGGATTCTTGATGTAATTTGATCCATGGATCGCAGGGAATGTTAGTCATTTTTTGACTTTCAGTAAGGGAATGTTGATGGTGGGCGATACAATGAAGACTAAATAACTTATACGATAAACTTGCTGAATTGATATGAAAAATAAATATGTTAAAAATTTCTGATTAATTTAATTAATAAAGTCTGACTTTTGATGAAGAATAACTAGAATGAAGAGCAAATTTATGCAATCACTATTCATCATATAGAAATATTCAACTTGATTTGCACTATATCGTAATGATTTGTTATAAAGTAAAATAAGAGATAAAATTTGTCAAAGTGTATACAAATTTGAAAAATAGATTTAAATATTGTACTTCGTATCTCAAAATGTCCACTTTATTACATAATACATTTTATCTCTACTAATTGTAAGTTCATTATATAATATCATGTATCTAGCAGGGTGTCTATAAAGAACTGTATTTTTATTATCGCAAAGACGATACTTGTATAATGGTACAATTTGATAGTGATGGGAGAAGGAGATACGGAAGCAACGATTGAAACTTGGTACTCACGGTGTTGACAGATGAAATTTAATCGAGCTGTGCAAGGGGTATCGGACCAGAGCCAGCCTCTGCTACCATCGTATCGAGCGCAGTCTTCTTCGGTGCCTTGTGGCAGATTCCAGAAAGAAACGGAAACCTCCTCGCCACTTCCGGTCCATCTCCAAACCGTGCGATCCTTCTGATCCCTTACTGCACCCATCCAATACTGGCTCGAAGTATCGCTCCTTAACAAAAATTGGATATATATCTTTTTAGAGATGTTTGATGAAAGGAATTTTGAGAATATTTCTGCATAAACATTGTCCTTATTAAACGCGAACAATTTTAACATATAACTAATTATGTAAAGAGGTAGGTGTTTTTAAAAGAAAAAAGAATTTGGAATAAAATAATATATAAATAATACTACATAACTAATTTTAACTTAGAAGCATTTGATTTAGAATTATTTTGTTATTGTAATAATTTATCTTGTCGTATTTTTATTAAAAGGGTTAAGTGAATTAGGAAGTAATTCTTAATAAGTATGAATAATATTAAAATTGTTAAGTATGAATATCAAATAGCAAAAATGTTTAGAAAGAACTGTAATATCTTTCAATAGTAAAAATTCAAAAAATATGTATATGTAAATATATATAAAGATTTGTTTTAGGCAAGCGTGTCAATTAATCTAATTCGGTACCTATGTCTCCTCCACAGTTCCCATGAAATAAATCCTTGCAAGGCAGGATTACTTTCATCCACTAATGTACCACCTCGTGTACGACAGAACGCTAATGCCTCTCTGAATATCATTGGTTGTCTATTATAAAATATATAACACTTTCCATTATATGTTGCTGTCGAACCTGGTGGTTGATCTCTGAATTGTGGACACCTCTCAATAGGAAGAGCCTATGAAAAAAATTAATTACAATCACCACAAAAAGAAAAAACCTAAAGTCGTTATGAAACTTATTTATCGTTCGTTATTTATTAACTTAATTTTCTGTGGTAACCATAATTCTCATTAATTAACTTTGGGTATTAAAATACCGATTACGTCTACGACATGGATATTACTAACATCTTAGTTTCTAAATTTCTAAGGAATTCATTTATAATTTAAAATAAAATAAATTATTGATAATTATTTATTTCAGAAGGTCATACTTGATCAGTGTACACGAAGGCTTCACACAACGAAAGCTGTACTGGAATGGGTGTTGGTGTGTTTGCTTCCAAGTGTACAGAAACGAAAGCTCCAGGCATAGGAGGATTACAGGGAAGGAAAAGAGGTTGTCCTTCTTCGAGGGGACCAGTGTAACGATTGCAAATTGGATTCGTTCCCAAGTCTGGCCGATTGTTTCCGACACGAACCACAATTGTTCCTGGTATACCGTCACCTGTAATCAGGGAACGTGTGAAAAATGTAAACTCAGTGATATTTTTGAATAATAGGAAACTATATCGTACATAAATATTTGGAAACTTTGACATTTCTATTCAGTGTATAAAATGATTCAGAAATGGTGTTTCTGATGAACCTAACAATAATTCAAGATACGAATGTATAACAAATTTTTTGTTTCTTCTTTTTAAAATTAGAGATTAGTTTAATTATTATTATTATATTATTTTTAATCTAATTTTTCGACGTATTAAGATTATATAAGAAATACAATTTGTATTTTTTAATTTTTATTCTAATAAATAATAATAATTCTACTAATAATTTTAATAAAGTATTCTATTTCATATATTATTGTCCCAAAGGAAATACAATTTTTAATTCCGCAGATGTAAATTTACATATCGTCAAAATTTTCAAACACGGTTCAATGTCCTTCAATAAAAATTTCTCAAATTCATATAACCATCATCTTCCAAACCACCTATCGCTACTTAAATACGAAAGAAAGTCATATTATTCTAGTTCAATATATCATTACTTTATCTCGATCCAATATTTCGATCACTACGTGCTGTCAGGTAATAAATAAAAGGCTAGAATTGACTAAAACGAATACACATCAAATTACCCCTCTTTTCACCCATAAACTCGATGCTATTCACATGTTTCTATTCATCGAAGGAGGAAGAGGGACCAGTCACGTATTAAGATAATAAAATACATTGTATTACATTTCTCAAGAGGATACTTCAGGGACAATCTACTAGAATGTACTTCGAATCGATCCAGGCTTTCACTGGCAGCTAGAATTGCTATCTACTCTTAGCTGGCAATTGCAAACGTAGCATTTGAACGGATAAAATTATCTGAAATAATCCAGTGCTAGGCAAGGACTACATCTTCCGACCTGGAAAGCATTTCAGGTGTGACCAGATGGACGGTCGTCGCTTCGACCAACAGCCACCGACTCCAATTACATGCTTTCCACGTTTTGTCCCTTGTAATCGTCTTCGAAATAGCGACAATTTCTTGTTTGCATAAAAAAGATCCCAGCTTGTGCTCGCACGCGGAGAAACTTCTCGAGTCATCCCGCGATATTAGAAACTGCGTTTCTAACGATGCGTCGCAGCAACGATAGTTTGCGCTTCTTTGACTTCATTTAGCGCAAGAAATTCATTTTACAAGATCATGAATGACTGAATTTGCATAGAAAAATATTTTGCTGAACAATTCTATGCGCATACGTAACTTGTTCAATGGTCATTATGGGCATTGTGGAGTGAAACGTGTGTAATATAATATAGTGAAAATACAAGATATTTAAAAAAACAAAAAAAAACAAAAAATAAGAAAGCAACTTTTAATTTTATATTTAAATTTCACTTTCACTGGCGCCGCTATGACGACATTATTAATTTGTATTATAAATTATTGTTCGGTTTCGTTTTCATCAATGAAGACGAGAAAAGTGAGTAAGATTATTTTATAAATAAATTCACAGATGTTCTTAATTTTTGCTTTTGAAGTAACATTTTAATTTGAATTATGTCTTCCTCTTTTTTTATTGCAGAATCAAAAATTTCTCGGAGTGCAAAGGGCGAAAAATTAAAAATTTAATATTTTCTTTTTGTTTTACTTTTCTTCTCTTTACAGAACTTTTTTGATAGTGATTTTAATGTGAAGTGTATGTGACATAAAATATAATATAGTAGATGTTTAAATCATTAAAAAGATAAAGGAAAACAATTTTTAATTTTTTTTAAATAAATCTCTGTATATCTTTTTGCTCTATCCATTTCCGTTTCATTTTACATAAAGAGAAGACTGAAAGTGTTATAAGCAAATGGTCATTTTCAAATATTTCAAGAAAGTTTTTATTTAAAAAATTAAGAAATAGGTGAAAATGTAATAAATAGTATAACCTAACCCAAATTCCGTTAATATCATTCGAAACCGTTTTACTTCTCTGAGAAAGTGTTCTTGCAGCCGGTTAATAAGAAAAATGCAACTTAAATCACAGACTTAATCGAGTCAAAACTTCTTGCAGCTTAAACCTTTCATGTTTCTTTGGAAGGAGAAGTACGTATAACATGTACAAATCAAACGTTACTATATAGAGTGAAACGCTTCTCCAGCTAAAATATCTTTTATTTATAATAATGAAGTAAAACACTGCACTAAATACACACGCACTGTGTCCAATAAATTGTTACAAACAAATTTTCTTAAAAATATAAATGAACTATTTATAAAATAAAATATATCATTAACGAATTAAAAATACCTATCTTTGACATTTTCTATAAAAATTTTCCGACATATTTCTAAACGTAGACCTCCATATTCGGCAATGAACTCCACGGAATTTTAATGATAAAACAATAATGGATTATTAGAAAACGAACAGTTCTGGTTTTACCTGATACTCATTATTAGGTAAATTACTTACTATCCAATTAAGTTAACGTCTTGTTCCAATTGAATTCATCTTTTCCCAGGCAATTCAATTTTACTATCGAGGAAGTAATTTGTTTTGCGTTCGTTAATATCAAAATAACACACACAATCACTTACAATTTAATTTCCGCGGTTCTACTTTTCATAAATATCCAAATTTCCGTGATTCTGGATTTTTGGTACTACAACTATTAAATTTGTCAAGATATCAAATTTTAGATTTTTATTTTTAGGAAATATATAAAAGTTTATTATTGGAAACATGTAGACATTTTCTGTAATATTGACATATAAATTTATTGAGATATAGTTATATGTAATAATTTATTTTTGTTATAACATTATAATTATAATTATCTATGTACAGTACTTGTATATGAGTCATTCGTTAATCAAATCGATCAATTCCATAAAGCAAAAAGTAGAAATTTATTTTAATACTGAATCTATTTAGTCTATCTACCTTAAATGACCGAAATTTTAAGATTTTGATTAAAAATTCTGCACTCCTCTTTTATTATTTGACTTCAGATTTTATATAATATATTTTATCCTAATACTATAATATACCATAATCAATTTTTCAATATGTAGAGTGGTTTCAAGAAAACAATCTGTTATTTAGAATTTTGTACTGGAAGATACAAAAATACTAAATGCTATTAAAAGATAAACTAAAATAGTAAAAAACACATGACAGCTTATATTTTTTAAATCACTGCGTCAACTTAAATGGGATATCCTGTTCATTTCTCTTTTCATTCTATCTGTACTGAGATTTATATATAGCCTGTTTCATCTGTCACATCCAGATTTTAAAGATTACCAATTTTTAAATATAAAAATCACCAATCAATTAATTTTACTTTGGTACTAAAGTTAAAAAAGAAACTCGAAAACTGAATCTAATTTCATTGGCCCGTATAGGGCTCGTATAATAATATACGTTTCAGGTCAATAATTCTAGAATTGAATATGCACGCCGTAAAACAATAAATGCAGAAACTTTTAATCTTCATGACGTTCAGCTCGAGATTAAATTTCTCTTTTCCGAAGCAAGGAAGTCAGAGAAGTCATCCGTTTCACCTTCTCCGGCGCAAAAACTCGTGCACTCCTTCATGCAACTTCGCTTTTCTTATTTTCCCTTAGGTGCAACGAGTCGCTTTTTATCCCAAAAACGAATCGGTTTTCTTCAGCTTGCGTCTATCGTCAAGGAAGTCGTTAGTTCCATGTTTATCGATGCAAGAACACACACAATCCCTGATGAGTTACATATGCCATCGTGTTCCCTTCCGTTTTACCGGAAACGCGAGTCTGCAAACGCGCCAGCACTAGCAAACGATAACCGATCTCGTTCGTAATTAAAATGCTCTGCTAACAGCTTCTTATCGGTAGAAGCCACGTGAAAGTTGCCCCTTCTTGTAAAATATCAGTCAATTTAATTACGGAGCACAGCGCGTTCACAGGCGAAACGCGAAGATTATCGTCACGTACAAGTGTTAGCTGAATCGTGACCGAAGATCGGTCGAAGAGGAACGCTGTTAGAACCGGGTTGCTATCCGTTAGGGCAACACGCAACTTTTGCATGCATAACAGAAACATAACGAAAGTATAATCGGGTTGGATCTTGATGGATGAAGATCGTGTGATGGATGCTCGTTAGCGATCTATACACTGGCGATCGTAAGTATCCGGGACACTGATTTCAATACGAGCTGTACAATAACGAAGCGGTATTAAAATTAGTATTTCAGATTTAATTTATTGCTTTTTTCGTGTGATCGACAGGTTACAAATTTCGGTTATTTATTAACTCTATATAGCGAGAGAATTTTTCGATTGACTGCAGGCTCTGATGTATATAATATTTCTGCAGTGTGATACTTGTTGAAACTAACAATTTTAGTTGGAAAAGAAAAAAATTAGAAATATTTGTGAAATCGTATGAGAGTAGAAAACAAATTAAACGATAAATTGCAAATTGTTAGAGTGTCGACAATGTACTGAAGTGTAATATCATTGTTGATAATAATTCTTTATAGAGAATTATTACATAAAGAATTGATTTTTTTGTAAGGAATAATTTAATGATGATTATTAACAATTATTATTAATTAATGATGATTCTTTTATGGATTTAAAAGAATCTCTAACTCATAGTTTATGATTTTCTGAATTATGAGAATGAAAAATTCGATAATTATGACTGCCGATTCTGGTTTTGTAATATTATAAAAATTTATTTAATCATATAGTAATATTCTATTATATTCATTATATTTCATTAATTGATTGTAATTAAATTAAGTTTTATCAGATGCTAGCAAGTGTTTAGATATAGATAAGTATTAAATTGAATTGAATTGCTGAAGGAAGTAACGAAATAACTACATTGAAATCGAAATTATAAGGAGTTCTCGTTTCCCTTGAATTTGAATACTTATTTTATAAATTAATTACAAACACGATGGAAAGAAAGTGACGCTCACGATTATGTAAGAATACGAATTACTCAAGCAATAAGCTATTGATTATTGGTAATGCAACAGAGCACCTGCTGAATTAATGTTGCTCATAATAAATGCAAGCAGCATGTGAGATGCTTTTATTAAATTAATTCTTACGCTACTGTATTCTTAAAGAAAATTGCAATGTCTTCCTAGTTATCTAGAATTTTGTATTTCATTATCGATAACCTACAAAAAAATTTTGATTTAACATTCTTCTTTGAATATTAATACTGTCAAGGAACCAAAATGTCTGATTTCAAATACTCTATTTCTGCTATTTATCCAAATATTTTATTTATTAGTGAAAATATTAATATTGATTTTTATATATTAATTATGAATATTATTAATATAATTATTAACATAAATATTAATTATGAAATTTACTCGGATGAAGGTAATATCATATATATCTATTTCTCTTCATCATATCTTTTCAATTTTTACCATTTTTGTATAATATATTTGGCTATGCGTTATAGACCATTTAATGTCAATATATTATGTAATTAAACAAGAATAGAATATATTTATACTTCCAAGATGGAATTAATAAATATCTAAACACGAATACAAAGAAGTATCGTGGTGTTGCCTCGAGGGAAGAAAGTAAAAAATTTCCAAGAATTTAATAAATCACGTTTAATCGTTGATAAGATATCTTTGATGCGTTATTATACAATGCAACACTTCCAATGCACGGGCTGTTGCTTCGTGAAAGGATGAAAATTCTATATTTTGAGGAAGAGAGCAGCGAGTTCTTTCCAAGAATAACAGAGTACTCTCACTCTTTATTTCCGCGTAAACGGCACGTCCGACGCCATTATCGGGCATTTCGTTTAACGGTGAAAGTTTTCCCTTGTTTGATCGGTTATATCGACTGCCGTTAGATTTAAGTATAAGCAAATCTACTCCTGGCCGCGAAAGAATTGCGGAACTTGTGCAGGAAGGTAGGGATAAGTAAAATCGTAAAAATATAATGACTCGTTGCAAAGGAAATTTCCAGCAATATCGCAAGGAAAATTCGCGAGTAATTTAGTGGATGATCATTGTAAAGCATGGTAAGTGATGAGTGAGTGAAGTATAATAACTTAAAGAGAGTTGCAACGACCTGCTTTGATAATGATATAAATGATAGTTTCATGAAGTTGAAATGAATAACGAGATGAAGTTGATGGAAGATAAGAATTAGAAGTTTTAATTCGATGATTCATTTGTTGTAGAATAATATTATGTTTCTTGCTGAAATTTAAAAATTTGATATTAATTTTTCATCAATTCTTTTCACGCTGATATATGTAGATATTAATAATAATAATGGTCTAACGAAGTGGAAATAAATAAGAATGAAAATTAAATAAGTGGAAAATTTAGAAATTCGATGCTTAATTTGACTTGGATCAATATCATTTTTTATGTATTTGTTAAATTCGACATTAATTCTTTTTTGTGTTATAAATAAGAACAATATTAAATATTCATAGAATTAACTCAACTAAAATTAATTTGAAAACATTTAAATTGTTTAACTATTATAATTAATTATAAATTATTTAATGTCATAAATAAATTCTGTTTCTTATTATGGTAAATTTACGATGAAAAAATGTAAATTACATTAAAAGTTTTATTACATTAAAGTTAACTAAACACAATAATCCCATATACCGTTTTTTAATTTTTGTCTCATTGTCAGTTAAAATTCTCAGATATACTTTCTCGAGATTTCTATTAAAATTAAAAAGAAGCTTGAAACAAAAATTAAACAATCAAACATATAACAAACAAATTTAAACATCCCTAACCTAATTGCTTAAAATAATACACATTTAGAAATATAGAAATTCAAAGACCAAAATAATTTGTTCACGGTCTTTAATAAAGTCGAAGTACTACACTAAGATATAGAAATACTTATTTAATGGTAATTAGTCGATACTTTCTATCTAAAAAGTGTGTCGATGTGATTAATGGTAGCGACCGAAACGTAAAATAATATCGCGTCTTTTAAATGGCTCATAAAATCTGCTTGTAAATCCGCACGTCATATTTTTCTTATTTTTTCTTTTTCTTTTACTTTATTATTGACCATGAGCATTATTGGCACGCGAAAACTTCTAGAAACTTTCCAGTACGATAGTGAGAGTCTTTTCACTTTTGATTGCTAGAAATCGATGCCACTCTTTTGTCCAATTGCTCTTCATGCACATGCATGCACCGATTGGTGTAATTGTAAATTATAGGAACAATTGACAATTTTATTTTTAACACTCGCTATAGCTTTTTTTACTGTTTGTAGGGTGAAATTAGTAAGTTCTTCTCGCCCTGAATGACTCTAATTTCCCTTTACAATGGCTCGTAATGACGATTTTTATAACGCGCCTCCGAGTTATAATGGACATGATCTTACAGACACAATGGTAGCAAAAAGACAGGAATACGAAATGAAATTAACGTTTTTATGTTGTAATAAAACGAATTGGTACGATATACTATGATGCTTTTTCAAGGGAATTTTTATTTTTAAGGTGTCATTTTTACTTCTGGCAAAAAAATACTACGATTCTTCACAAATCACAAATATAGTACAGTAATAAGTGTGTAAAATAATTTTTAATATAGTTACAAATGATAAATAAATTAAATTTATAAATCGATTTTAAAAGCTATCTGAATTAAAATAAAAAAATTAAGAAATGAGGAGCTTAATGTTATTATGATTTCTATCAGACTGATTCACAACAAATTTATGCATAATATTCGTAAGTTTATTTATTTTTATTGATTTAATTTCATTTTTTTTAAATGAAAATATATATAAATTAAAATAAGACTAAAGCAATAAATACCAACGCTCGTTGTTCTAATCATATTTCTCTATTTTGAAAAATTACATTTCATTCAAAATAGTAACAATTAACACCCATAATCTCTATCACATTTTCTCATTTTCAAAATGTCCCGAAACAGTAGTAATAGATGTCCCACAGTGAAATCGACGATTTTATATGAAAATTACTTCCTTAATAGAACAATAATGTTCAACGAATAACACTCGTAACAACATATTTATGCCACTTCAATTCCATTTCCTATACAATATTCTGCAATATTCATCAATTCCACGATCGATCATTACGTCTGGAACAAGCAACACAATAGCCTGGGAATTGTAGCAATAGATAAAATCTACAGCAGGCATGAATGAAAGTGTCGATCCGGCGTTTACGCTAACGGTGCATTTCATGCTCGCCTTGTTCGTTATTACGTTCACCTCTCAGAGCATCGGATCGCGAAAATTTTCGCCCACAAAGCGCCGTTATTACCACGTAATTGACGCTGTCGGTTTATCGATAGAAAGCCGGCGACCGCGTCATTGAAATGAAAGTGGCGTTCCATCGTATTAGGAGAATTAAACTATGTCCAGCGAATCGCGGTAAACTCGGACTCTTTACGCCTTCTGACCAGTTTCACCGGCGATCCATCATCGAGTTTTAGCCTCGATCTTGATACGCTCTTCGAGTCTTTTTTTAAACTTCATCGCGCTCCAATTTCATTTAGAAAAAGGGATACTTATCATTTTGGAGGAAGCGAACTTTTTTGTGTAAAATTGGTACTTTAGAAACTGAAACTATTAAGTAAGTTAGAAGTTGGTTTTTGTAAGTGTTTGTTAGAAGCATTTCACAAGCAGAAATTATTGTTGATTTTTATCGAGATAGAAATTGTGTGTCTCTATTTCTTTTCATTGTGTGCTTTTAATTATTATTATTATTTATGTATACTATATTCTTGAGTATATACTAGAGATTTATGATTTTAAAATTAATACGATAATTGGCATATTAAGTAAAAGTTATATTGTCTATGAGATCGAATGACGAAGTATAAGAAATAATCAGAAGTTTGGTAATTATCGAGTAATCCATAGATAATTCTTATTAGGTTGATAAATTCCTTTAACAAGAATGATACTAAAGAATAATTTAGAGTAATTGAAAAATTTGTAGGTTCACTATATTTAAGAGATTATAATAAATTTATAATAGTTATGGTAGTATTTTTATTATAATTTTACAATTTAATTCCATGGAATTTGTAAGAAAAATTATATTTCTAATTACGTTTCATACTGAATTATGTTAGAGTAAAATAAATTATGTAATTAAATTTCTTTCTTTTTTTAAATATTATATCATTCGTATTAAGATATAAGAATTTGAATTTTCATTGATGCAAGATAGGAAAGTTTTAAGTTTTTGAAAGTTTAGGCAATTCTGCATGGATTCTTATAGTAAAAAGAATCACGTAGAAGATAAACTTCTCACTCAAATATGAGACGCATCACTGTCAATGAGTATTATCACGATCAAGAATAGAATTGATTGCGTCAACGAGAATCTCTTATTTATGTATTGACAATAAAAGATGACCTTGACATCTTGACAGATACGAATGAATAATACCTATAATATCACAGACATTCTTTGAGATTCTATAAACATTTTATAGACATCCTACTACTTATTATTAAGAAATAAAAATTAAATTCGACTGAAATTGTTTTTCGTTGAATTTACATTACGTATCTGACTAAAATTATTATAGTAATAGTGTAGTACTGCAGTTCAGTAGTTTTATAAACAAGAAAATTATTGAAAAAGTTAACAAAAAAAAAAAATTAATTAAAACGCTAGATATAATAATACAGTTAATTAAATTCACAAAAATAAATTCTTATTTCTACAGTACTTTCACGACACGAAATAAATAATCTCCATTAAATAAAAGATTATTATTCGTTAATTAAATTGTTATAAATAAATAAATATTAACAAGAAAATAATTTGGATATCACTTACCACAACATGGTTTACCAAAGTCGAGTCGTACGAGTTGCACCATGTAGGGTTCAAGCAAGTTCACGTACCACCATGGCCTGTGCTCTGGTCTTGTAAGGGTGCAAGTTTGAGGGGTGTAAATCTGTCCACTACTTCCATCGACAGCACGTTGCGGAATTCCACCCTCAGTGCTGCTCGATTGCATGGGGGCTTTACCTCCAGCAACATTCAGAACTGTAATAAAAAATAAAATATCTGGTTAAAATCTGATTAAAATTGTGCATATACTTTGTATATAAATTACTGTCGAAAATAAGGAAATTCTAGTTCTTAGTATTTTAAGAATAAAAGACTCTTCTGAGGAAAACTGTATGACTCCTATACGATTTAAAGTCTTTATAAACAATGAAGGGAAAATAAATGTCTCGCTAAAAATAGTTCAAATTTCTGTCTACATTTAACGATGCAATATATATAAAATGATATTATATAGAAATATAATACATTTGCAATAATTCTTTCTCAAGAACATTTCAACAATTTCACTACCACTGATACAACAGGACTAATTTAAATATTCGTGAAGGGTCTCCAGTGA